TGCGATGATTGAGCAGCATGAGCGTCGTGCCCGTATTACATCTCTTCCAATTGCGGCCTTGACTCCTCCGTCCAACCAGATGGCCCTTGCAGTTACTGTCAGGTCTTGTTTAGGATCCACATGTGGACAACGCTTGGACCAGTGCCGTCAGGGTGCTCCAGATCAGCGCAGACAGGGGGATTCTCGTTAGTGTGATAATTGTGGCTGACCAGGACATCTCAGGGTTGCTTGTTGGAAGCTCCATCCGGAGCTTAAGCCACCTCGTCGGGGTCGTACTGCTACTATTGCTGAGATACCACTGCCTACTGTCGCTGCTCCTACTACTATTACTACTGCTCTTCCTTGACAGAGTGATATGGATGATATTACTTCCTGATTGGATATACTTATGTCTACTCTGACTTCTTAGAATTTGACTACTGCGGCTGCCACCACTACAGGTATACCTCGTGCCTTTTATGCTTGTGTCAATCCGTCTCTCTTTTGAATGCTAGATTCGGGTGCGAATGGTCACATGACAAGTGAGGCTCATCACTTTACCACTTTTGACGAGCGGTTACATACACAGGTTCAGCTAGCAGATGGGACACATGCCCTTATTGTTAGTAGGGGTACAGTCCGCCTTCAAGATGGCTTTACATTACGTTCGGTGTTTCATGCACCAAAGCTGGCCATGAATCTATTATCTGTACATCAATTAGCCAGAGATTTTCATTGTGCGGTTGTGTTCTTATCTGATTCGTGTTATTTGCAGGACCTAAGTATCAGGAGGATTATTATCAGGGGACATGAGAGATATGAACTATATTATCTAGGCGATCCACCTCTAGTTTCACCAGTTCCTTCACCGTCATCACCTACACCTATTTTGTCTTTATCTGTTCCTAGCTTGTATGCTAGTATTTTACCTAGTACTTGTTGTTATAATTTTTCGTCACAAACTGTTCAGTTGTGGCGTGATCATTTTGGACATACAAATTTGAAATATTTATGTATGTTATTTTTTGCTTTAAGTAATGTTTGTGTTGGTGGTAAACTTGACTGTGTTATATGTTCCCTATCGAAACATATTAGAACCAGTTATATTCCTCGCATGCACCAATCACCCAAGCCATTTGACCTAATACACTCTGATATTTGGTGATCATCTCTTATTACTGTTCTATCAGGTGCTCGATACTATGTGACATTTATAGACGGACCATACCCGTTGTACTTGGGTCTACCTTTTGCATAGGAAGTCTGATGTACTCCCTGTCATCACTCATTTTCTCCAGATGATTAAGATACAATTCAATGTCATTGTTCGTATTCTTCGTTCGGATAATGCCAAAGAATATATGTCTGATGCCTTAGTGTCTCATCTTTCTTTCCAAGGTATCCTTCAACAGCTCATTTATTCATATACTCCTGAGCAAAATGGAATTGCTGAAAGAAAAAATAAGAGTCTGATAGGGATGGTACGTTATATGCTTAGAGGTATGGTGGTCCCAAAATTTTATTGGCATTTTGTTGTTTTGACTTCTACATTTTTGTGCAATTGTACACCGAGTCGTGTTCTTCAGCATAGGGCTCTCTTATAGGTTTTATTCCATGAGCGGACACTTTTTCCTGCCCCCTCTCGTGTTTTTGGCTGCATATGTTTTATTCAGGATCAGTCTCCTACTCGCTATAAGCTTGATGATACAGCGATTCGTTGTGTCTGTGTGGACTATTGTCATCAGTCTAAGGGGTATCGGTATTATGGTCCTATCAGGCGTCGTATGTATCATAGTCTAGATGTTACATTTCTTGAACATATTCCCTATTTTTCTTCCAATCATGTGTCTTCCCCTCCTATTAATGATATTCCTTTTGATTTTCCATCATCACAGAAACTAGAACCATTGGTCACTATCACTACAGAGTCATCAGTCTCTTCTCCTCCAAAGCCACCAGTCTCTTCTCCTTTGCAGGTTTATGTCTGTCGCCCTCACTCTTATCCCCCTGCTGATGTCCCTTCTATCTTAGGCGATTCAGGTAATCCTTCTTAATTCATGGAGCATATTGATGCACCTGTTGTTAGTATTGATGAGATTGCAGGTACTGAGTCAGCTACATTACCTGATGAGACATTGTCAGTGAAGGATAATGATTTAGGGCGTCGTTATCCGCGGTGTGATCGTCGTCCAGTTGATCGTTATGGTTAAACCGCCAGGATTTTATATCTGATCTCTGCTTATGTTTCTTATGGTGATTTGTCTCTTACATTTCGAGCTTATAGTATGACCTTATCAGATACACCAGTTCCTTGCTCTGTTTCGGAGGCTATGCGGGAGCCCCAGTGGATTCTTGCCATGTAGACAGAGATGGACGCTCTTCAGCGTAATCATACATGAGATCTTGTCTCTTTATCTTTAGGGGTGAAGCCTGTTGGTTGTCGCTGGGTTTACACCCTGAAGTTTCTTACGGATGGTACTATTGATAGTCACAAGGCTAGACCTGTGGCAAAGGGCTTTACTCAGGTACCAGGTCGTGATTTTAGTGCTATATTTGCCCTCGTGGCAAAATTGACTATTATTCGGTTGATTATTTCTCTGGTTACGGAGTACTATTGGCCTTTTTATCAGCTAGATGTGAAGAATATATTTCTTCACGGTGATTTGGACAAGATTATTTATATGGATGCACCACCGGGCTTTTGTGGTGAGGGGGAGTATGCTAGAAAGGTATGACGACTGCGTAAATCTCTTTATGGACTGAAACAGTCACCATGAGCCTGGTTCTCTCACTTTAGTGATGTAGTTGGTCATTTGGGGTTCACCAGATGTCATTCTGATCATACCTGTTTTATTCGGCGGAGTAATTCTGGACAGTGTGTCATTCTTTTAGTATATGTTGATGATATTATTATTACTGGAGATGATGTTTCTGGGACTACACATGTCAAGGTGGACTTTGGGAAGGCCTTCGATGTGAAGGACTTTGGATTTTTGCGATACTTTCTTGGGATTGAGGTTGCTCGTAGCAGCTGGTGTGTTGTTCTTTCTCAGAGAAAGTATGTTTTGAATATTCTTTCAGACACTGTGATGTTGGGGTGCAAACCGGTATCATCGCCCATGATTCCAAACCTGAAGCTTACTACTGAAGGTGAGGAGTTGAAAGATCCGACTATCTATCAGAGGTTGGTAGATAGACTTATCTACCTGGCTAACACTAGGCCAGACATTTCATTTGTTGTCAGCCGAGTTAGTCAGTTCATGCACCGGCAGTGTCAGCCTCATCTTGATTCAGTTTATTATATTCTTTGGTATCTTAAGTCTTGTCCTAAACTTGGATTGTTCTATGTATCAGGATCTCAGATTGGTTTTCTAACCTGTTATTCAGATTCAGATTATGGGGGAGTATGTGATGGTCAATCTACTACGGATTTCTGTGTTTTTCGAGGGACTCATATTTTCTCTTGGAAGAGCAAGAAGCAGTCAGTTATCTCTCACTTATCAGTAGAAGCAGAGTATCGGGCACCGACACTTGGCACATGTAAGATTATCTGGCTACGATCGATTCTTGGCGAGTTAGGATTTTCAATGACTTCTTCATCTACATTATATTGTGATAATCGATCTGCTATTCAGCTTGCTTCTGACTCTGTATTACACGAGAGGACGAAACATATAGAGATCGATGTTCACTTCTTTCAAGAGAAGGTTAACAGTAGTATTGTCACTCCATCGTTTGTGGGACTAGTGATCAGGTTGCAGATGATTTCACCAAACCTGTCACTCTATCCATTCTTCGAGACTCCGTTGTCAAATTTGGCTTAGTTGACATTTTTGCGTCTAACTTGAGGGGAAGTGTTGAAGATATTACAGTTTAGTTTATTAGGATTTATTATAGTTTTACCTTTTTTTACCCTTATTGTAATTCTCATTGACTATATATACTGGGACTCTACACTTAATTTGTATCCCTTTTCACTCACAGATATTCCAAGTGATACAAACCAACTCTGTATACAAATGAAAAATAAGTGAATATCTATAGTTTGAGTGATGAATGTAGTGGGACACTGGTGTGCAGCTCGAAGAAGTCAGGGAAGGGAAAGAGGCCTGGAAAGGGTGGGAATCGGTACTGGAAGAATATTGACTTAGGCTTCAAAACTCCAAGAGAGACCGTTGAAGGTTAGAAATCTAGTTATATTGTAAAGAAAGGACTAATAACTGATTGAAGTTCAAACCTGCTCTAATTTTTCATAAATGGGTTGAATTTGATTTGATTTGATTTTTGATTTCAAGTATTCATACAACATGTTTGTTCAAATTCTAAAAACGTCCATATGTTAGATTCATTTGCCAATTACATTTTTCTTATTGTAGTACTACAATTCTCATGCCGTACACCTTGTAGTGTTGGAGGTGGTATTGTAGCAAGTTATTACATGCAGTAATGATCCTACAGTGGTTATACCCCTCTTGCTTGGTAGAGAAAATCTTATAGTAGGATGGATTGGCTTGGGCAATTTCCTTTACGATGGCTAGTCATTGACACACAATCGGGACTCCTACGAACAGAGACATCCTTGAGGCTTGGCAGGTGCTAGTTCTTGATTTAATGACTCTGTTTGCCATAATGTTGATATTTTGTACAAGTAATAGAAAAATGAGAGTTGATGTATACATTTTTTGGCATATGTAATGCCAATTGTGTTGGCAGATTTGATTTTGAAATTGAATACGTTGAAGGGATGAATTCTTCAGATTTTATGTGAATTCACTGAATTGCAGATGTTATCCTAGTTCAAAAAAGAATGCAGATGTATGGGATAATGTATTATTTGTACAGATTTTATCGGGCCACAATACAATGCTTAAGTGATGATGTGATATCACCTTCATAACAAAATATTTAACTGAAAGAGGCGAAAGGTAATCGACAATCATGAAAAGATCCCAACATGGTAAGAACCTTTTCCATATCTTTATTATCTAAATCATACTTAAACGTACATAAGCAGTGCTATGTTACCAAGTCACTAACTCGACCTCCGGAATGTGTGCAATTTTTCGCCAATCGTCACTTTCTTTGTGTTGATTCTTCTCCAAGGTGTGAATCCATGAAGAAGTCCTACCGCTTACATAAAGCGACTGAAGATTGGTTAGATGTTCAATTCCTGATGGCAACTCCTTCAAGTTATCACAGCTCTCAATAGATCGCTCTACAAGATTAGGCATGGCGCCATGCTCCACCGTAGCCCTTGTCAACTTTTCCATCGAAGAAAGCAATAACCGCTTGAGCCTCCGGAACTTCCCGGCAATGAAACACAATGTTTCTCCATAATAAGCATCAGTCAATCCAAGTTCTAGGAGATTGGGCAAATCTTGTAAGCATTGTAGTTGGCTATCCATTAACCCGCTATCCCATAACCTGACTTTCAGCAGGCTATGAAGAGAAGGTATCCAATGTGGTAACTTCTCTAGACGTCCACCCAACTGTAGCTTTTGTAGGAATGGAAGAGATAAAGTTAAAGACGTTAGATCAATGATCTCATCACTTTGTCCTGACTGAACAAATAAAGAGCGAAGGTTGATCAGCTTTTCGAGGGATAAGCGCAATGCCCTTCCGTCTCCTCTTCTTAAATTCGTAATGCCTAAAGACCTTAGTTGGGTAAGATTCCCTACCTTTTCCACTATACTGTGGTTTGCTTCGATTCCAAGAAGCTTTTGGAGGGATGACAAATTTCCTATTTCTGCTAAGGTTTTAAACCCCACCCCTAAATATTCAATCCGATCCACGAGATGTCGAAGTTTCCGAAGCTTTCCTATTTCGACAGGCAACTCAACCACGCTAGTGTCTGTCAAATCCAAAGTCTCTAGGTTCCAAAGCTTTCCAATGGATTTGGGAATAACATCCACCCATGTATTCCTCATGCTTAGAAACCTAAGATGTACTAGTTCACAAACTTCATCTGGGAATGTTCCCAACCTAACATTTGTTAAATCTAACACCTTAAGCAACTTAGGACCTCGTCTTAAGAGTGCCAATATAGATACGGATGAAAGGGATGGTGCAAATCCACCACCCAACACAAGCATAGTCCGAAGTCTATGAAAACACTTGCTTTCTTGTCCAGCTTGTACATGACCATGTATTACTAAGCGTCGGATTTTTTCTGGCCATATTACATCTAGTTCGCTGGCCAAAGTAATAATGTTTTGCTCTCTCGACTTGGAAAGAATAATTTCACGTAGAAGATCATGGATTTGGCATGCTTTAGGCCTTCCCTCTATTGTTGTCCGCACCACTTGGATTAAGCTTCTATTGAGAAGTTCATTGAAATAACCTCCTGCAACTTCTTCCAAAGTTAGTCTTTACCTTTCTTGCACAAATCGTTCTGCAATCCATAGTCGAATCACTTTGCTCTTTTCAATCTCAAAATCCTCAGGAAAAAAACTCAAGTATAAGAAACAAATTTTGAGAGGAAAAGGTAGATCATAATAACTGAGAGAAAGTATTTTAATCATTCTCTCAATTTTGTCCTTACCTTTGTGTGCAACTGTGAGATTGCGCAGAACCATCTCCCACTCATCTATTATACTTTTGTCCTTTAAAGCCAACATGCCACCAATTGCCACAATTGCAAGTGGTAATCCCTCACATTTTCTTATTATATTTCGTGAAATTTCTTCCAAATGTCGAGGGCGAGATTGATCCTCGAATGTCTTTTTACAGAAAAGAGTCCAAGAATCTTCATCGGACAAAGGCTTTATTTCATGGACATGGCCATGAGACTCAAAGGTAGAAGCACGGGCTACATCAAGTAAACGCGTTGTGAGCAGTACACGACTACCACAATTGTTGTTAGACAACACATACTTGATGTCATCCCATGCATTTATAGTCCATACATCGTCTAACACAATCACGTACCTTTTTCCCTGGAGGAATTGCTTGATGGATTCTTTCAATTGATCGACACCCACAGGTTCCTTTATTGGAGGCACTGCAAGTTCTTTAATCATTCTCTTCAGGAGCACCACGATATCAAATGATTGTGAAACAGTGATCCAAGCATGGCTTTGGAAGTGTCTCTTCACTTGTCCATCCTCGAAAACCTTCTTGACCAGTGTGGTTTTTCCTAACCCTCCCATTCCCACCACCGAAAACACTCGAGTCCAGAATCACCATCAAGAAGCCAACTAATAAGTTGTTTTTTTGGTTTGTCGATGCCCACAAGCTCAGCTTCGTCTATTAGAAGTGCATCACCTGGAGCATCATGCCAAGTGTTGCTCCTTATAACAGAGCTCGAGCCTTGATCTATGCTCCTAAATCTCTCATAGCTCACCGGTAATATAATAAAAAAAATAAAAAATATTATTATTATTAATAATAAGGCTAAAAAATCACAATAATTATGAAAAAACATACTTAATGTATATTAGATGAAACAAAAATTCCCATAATCATTAACATGGAGTATGACAAAATGAGAGTAATGTAATCAAACAATTTGCTCAACTAATCAAACAATCTTATATTACAGTATGATAGTAATGTTCAAAAAAAATATATAACAGTATAAGCAATTCAATATTCAAGCAACTAAGCAAGCCAAAATAGAGAGAAAATGAAAGAGAGAGAGAGAGAGCGAGAGAGAGAAGGAGAGATGATGTATCTATTGTAGTGAGTGTGTTGTGTCTCATACTCTCCCTTGAGGCAAGGAAATAGGCAGAGAATTTGAAGTAGTGAAGCCCTGAAGCAAATCGTCGATTCACCTCCGACAAGTGAGTCCCTGCCGGCCTTTGCTTCCTTCGACTACTCACAGCGCACAGAGAGAGAATGAGAGAGAGAGAGAGATCTAAGTTTGAGGCTAATTTGAGATTCGTTCATCAGAGACTCGGAGTAGAGGGCAAGCCACAAGATTTAGGACAAATATGCTAAAAGCCCCAAAACTAGGACTGTTAAACAAGTCAAGATTGAATATTTTTTAAAGCTTGTTTATATGTCAATAGTTAAACGAGTCAGCTCGTTTATTTGTAAATTCAACTCGATTTAGGCTCAAATTCAGTTCAATTAACACCCCTATCCAAAACCCAGGTATTTATAGGGTATGAGTTATTCCGATCGGTTTATTAAAAATCGTCGGGTTGAACGGTTTTGATAGGACCCAGGTGGTTCAGTGGGTTTCTTCCAGTTTTGATACTTAAACGATCTAATCTGAGAATCGGCCCGGTTTAGGCTTTGGTTCAAGCTTCGGTTCGCCCATTCACCAAGTCAACCCACGCGAGGTGAGCTGGTTTTTAAAACACTATTACATTCTCTTTGGCTGACACTTCAAAACAGAAAACAAAAAACTGGATGAAGTACCCCTATGAAGTAGGAGACAAAGGATTTGCTTATTTTTGCAAAAGAATCTATGGACGTTGGTCTGAGTTTTGTGAACCACTAGTGTGCAGACCCCTTGAGGGTGGTAGGGAAAGCCCTACACATAATCTTCTCTGGTATATTATGTAACTATATAAGGGATTTATAGTGTCAACGTGGTCTAGTGGATATTTTGAGCCATAAAAACTTCCATAATTGGCATTCTGAAAGTTGGTGGGAGGGGTAGTTGGCCACATTAGCTACAATGGTGTATTAGCACGCCTCACAAGGTGCTCGAATGTTTCCAACTCTCTCGTCTTCATAGAATTGAAGACGTCGTCTAGTTGGTTCTGTACTTCCTTGATCTTCTCGTCCTAGTGGTGGGGGACACCTTATAGGTAGTTATAGTGGCTTTTCATGGGTTTTGTGCTCGATTCCCCTTCGTCTTCTTGGAACAGAAGGTCGTTAGCATGGGAGGATTGAGCATGTGCATGAGGAGAGGAAGTCGGGCCGTGCTAAGGTGAGGCGCCCAAGGCACTACCCCTCCTAGCTGCTGGGGCACAGCTCTAGGATGCCCAGTGAGGATCAATTAGAGGATTTGTTAGTTTTGGTTTACCAACAACTGTATAGTCTCCAGTAGTTACATTTCAGGGTTTGTCGTTGGAGGTGAGAACAATTATAGTGTTCGGAGAACTTTATTACTCAAGGTGTGTAGGTGTGTAGAGTATGGAGAATTATGTGATGCCCTCCATGTGTAGGTGCGTGGCTTACAATTTATAGACAAATACAACTTCATAGCGCCTCAAAGGGAACCCTGATTGAGGAGCCATTACAGAGAGTCTTGATTGAGGTGTCGCCCTCGTAATGGGGAGTGGGGTGAATCCGTAATGCCGATGTAATGGGCGAGGTGGTTGAAGCTAGCAATGCACACCCCGATGACTACGCTCTATAATTTTATTCCTAAGATAGAGATCTCCACGTACGCTAGTAATAGATTAGGACTCTCAAAATGGTGGGCTTAGCCCTTGTTAACCTGCATCTCTAATTTGGGTTAGACCTGCAACTTTTATATGGGCCTGGTCTGGTTCAAATCCACAAATGTGATCTAAGCCGGAGCCATCATTTATGATTTGGCCTGGTCCAGGCCGGCCCATCAAAACATACTCATTCCTCCTCTATTTTGCTTTTTTTTCCCCCTCATAACAGAATAAACACAGGGTCAATACATATATTTCTTTAATAAATACTAAATTGGTTCTATTTGAAAATCGTATACCATTTGTGAATGAGACATAATTTTTGTTTGAGGACTAAGGAATCCAAACATGAACTTGTGTACAAAAATAGAGTCGTATATGGATAGGCCTGACGATGATAATATGATGAAGAAGAACGATGTCTGACATGAAATTAATGTGTTTAAATTTATTTTTAATGAGTTCAAATAATAAAATTAAAATTGTTAGATCACTTAACATTGAGTTTACAGGAACGCAACATATAAGTTGATCTAATTATATTAAATAAGAATTAATATAATATAATTTAGATACGACTTATATCTCATACAAACACAATCTATTGGTTATCCCGAGATGCACACCCAAATTTTTATTTTATTTTATTTTATCATCATACATACTAGCGGAGCTAGTATAAGATCCCTCAAACTTTTTTTTTCTTATCATTAATTACATATATTTCAAAAAAAATTAAGAACTTTTTATAGTGCCCACCATATTCGTACTAATTATTAGACCTATACCTGAATAACTATCATTTTTTGATATATTTTCGATACATTTAGATAAGTTTGTGACATATATTGAGGTTATTTTACCGTTAGTTTTTTTTCTCATATTTCTTGTATACTATGTGAATCTTGATTTTTAGCCAGTTTGTATTTAAAAAAAAAATTAAGTGTCAAATATAAAATTGTTATAAATAAATATTGATTTATTATTTTCCTTCTTATAATTTGATTAAAAAAAATTATAATATAATTTTTTTAGTTTTGATCATGCATGTCTAAAAGAGTAAATATTAGTGTAACGATGATATGATGGTATCAATAATATATCATATTTATATAATAAAATACAATACAATTTAAATTTTAAAAGATAAACAAAATATTTTTTAATTTTTACAGTTGCGATCTCTTTAAATTTTATTTTAAAATTAATCTGACGGCTAATATTAATACCTCAAAATTTAATATGAAAAATAGGCTCATAAGGATGTGTTTGAGATAACTTTTTAAAAATATTGCTAGAATTTATAATTTTTTATAAGTACTTTAAAAAAAATTAGTATTTGAAATTGTCCCACTACCACTCCCACCGTCATCCCACCACCACAACTACCCCCCACCGCCACCATCCCACCACCACCATTGTCACCACGCTACAACCACTACCAAACCCACCGCCTCACCTCCACCATCGCCACTACTACCATTCCTATCGCCCCCACCACTATCATTATAACTGTTACTACCACCCTATCACTTCACCACCGCATCTTCTACAAAAACCATCGCCACCGTCGTCTTTGTCACCATCGCCACCATCCCATTACCGTCTTCCACCACCACCACTCGTCCCCGACGATAATCGGTGCTTAAATTTCTTTCTCTTTCATCTATATTTGTAATTTGATTTTTGATATAAATACAAATATGTTTATTATTGACTATTTTTTTTTTACTCTGTACTTTCGGGCACAAAAAATAACTAGTTATCTATATTATAAAATAAGGCAAATTTTAAAAAATTCATCTGACAGTCTTAAATAGACTTATTTAACGACCACCAACATCTCTTAAAATTATTTCTATTGCACTGTGTTTTTTAGCCATGAGTTATTCTTAATCAGTCAATAATAATGGCGGTTATTGCAGTGATAAAACCATGTGATGTCAAAACAAAAGGGTTAGACTACAATACCGAATTTTACTTTTCGGTATGGTACTGTCATTTATCCTGGGCCATTAATGTAATTTTTCTATTTTTATAGCCGTTGATCAATTTTAAAAATTGGACACCGGTTACCTGCTAAACTGGTAAGTAGGAACTTCCTCCCAAGACTTAGAACCTCTACCACAAAAAAGTTGAAACTCACTCCAAAAAAGTTGAACCCCTACCAAAAATATTGGAACCCTACCCAAAAAAATTAGAACTCACCCCAAACAAAGTTGGAACTCCTATCTTAAAAAAGTTAGAACCCTCAAAAGTTGGAACATCTACCCAAAACGTTGGAACCCTTACCCCAAAAAGTTAGAACACCAACCAAAAAAGTTGTAACCCCTACCAAAAAAAGTTAAAACCCCTACCCAAATAAGTTGGAACTTTCCCCCAACTGTTAGAACCCACCAAGAGTTGGAACCTCTAAAAAGTTGGAACCCTCCCCCACAAGAGTTGGAACCTCTACCAAAAAGTTAGAACACCTACCTAGAAAAGTTGAATCCCTAACAAAAAAAGTTAGAAACCTATCTAAAAAAGTTGGAACCGATATCCCAAGAGTTGGAATCTCTATCCAAACAAGTTAGAACATCTACCCAAAAAAGTTGAAAGTCTTAATCAAAAAAGTTGGAAGCCTTACTCAAAAATATTGCAACCCTCCCCTGTTAGAACCCACCTATAGAGTTGGAACCTTGGACGGACAAGTTGGAACCTCAACCCAAAAAGTTGGAACCCTACCCCCAACAGTTGAAACCACTACTCAAAAGAGTTGGAACTACACCAAAAAAGTTGAAACTCTTAATCAAAAAAGTTGGCACCCACCC